CTGTAGACATATTTAGTTCCCACCGTCCCTACTGTAGACATATTAGTAGTTCCCACCGTCCCCCTACTGTAGACATATTTAGTTGCCACCGTCCCTACTGTAGACATATTTAGTTCCCACCGTCCCTACTGTAGACATATTTAGTTGCCACCGTCCCTACTGTAGACATATTTAGTTGCCACCGTCCCTACTGTAGACATATTTAGTTGCCACCGTAGACTGTAGACATATTTAGTTGCCACCGTCCCTACTGTAGACATATTTAGTTGCCACCGTCCCTACTGTAGACATATTTAGTTGCCACCGTCCCTACTGTAGACATATTTAGTTGCCCACCGTCCCTACTGTAGACATATTTAGTTGCCACCGTCCCTACTGTAGACATATTTAGTTGCCACCGTCCCTACTGTAGACATATTTAGTTTCCCATTCCCTACTGTAGACATATTTAGTTGCCACCGTCCCTACTGTAGACATATTTAGTTGCCACCCCTCCCTACCCTACTGTAGACATATTTAGTTGCCACCCGTCCCTACTGTAGACATATTTAGTTGCCACCGTCCCTACTATTTTAGTTGCCACCGTCCCTACTGTAGACATATTTAGTAGTTCCACCGTCCCTACTGTAGACATATTTAGTTGCCACCGTCCCTACTGTAGACATATTTAGTTGCCACCGTCCCTACTGTAGACATATTTAGTTGCCACCGTCCCTACTGTAGACATATTTAGTTGCCACCGTCCCTACTGTAGACATATTTAGTTTAGTTCCACCGTCCCTACTGTAGACATATTTAGTTGCCACCGTCCCTACTGTAGACATATTTAGTTGCCACCGTCCCTACTGTAGACATATTTAGTTGCCCACCGTCCCTACTGTAGACATAGTTCCCACCGTCCCTACTGTAGACATATTTAGTTGCCACCGTCCCTACTGTAGACATATTTAGTTGCCACCGTCCCTACTGTAGACATATTTAGTTGCCACCGTCCCTACTGTAGACATATTTAGTTGCCACCGTCCCTACTGTAGACATATTTAGTTCCCACCGTCCCTACTGTAGACATATTTAGTTCCCACCGTCCCTACTGTAGACATATTTAGTTGCCACCGTCCCTACTGTAGACATATTTAGTTGCCACCGTCCCTACTGTAGACATATTTAGTTCCCACCGTCCCTACTGTAGACATATTTAGTTGCCACCGTCCCTACTGTAGACATATTTAGTTGCCACCGTCCCTACTGTAGACATATTTAGTTGCCACCGTCCCTACTGTAGACATATTTAGTTGCCACGTTCCTACTGTAGACATATTTAGTTGCCACCGTCCCTACTGTAGACATATTTAGTTGCCACCGTCCCTACTGTAGACATATTTAGTTGTCCCTACTGTAGACATATTTAGTTGCCCCGTCCCTACTGTAGACATATTTAGTTGCCACCGTCCCTACTGTAGACATATTTAGTTGCCACCGTCCCTACTGTAGACATATTTAGTTGCCACCGTCCCTACCGTTCCCACCGTCCCTACTGTAGACATATTTAGTTTTCCACCGTCCCTACTGTAGACATATTTAGTTGCCACCGTCCCTACTGTAGACATATTTAGTTGCCACCGTCCCTACTGTAGACATATTTAGTTTGCCACCGTCCCTACTGTAGACATATTTAGTTGCCACCGTCCCTACTGTAGACCGTATTTAGTTTAGCCCCACCGTCCCTACTGTAGACATATTTAGTTGCCACCGTCCCTACTGTAGACCCCACCGTCCCTACTGTAGACATATTTAGTTCCCACCGTCCCTACTGTAGACATATTTAGTTCCCACCGTCCCTGTAGACATATTTAGTTGCCACCATTTTTAGTCCCTACTGTAGACATATTTAGTTGCCACCGTCCCTACTGTAGACATATTTAGTTCCCACCGTCCCTACTGTAGACTGTAGACATATTTAGTTGCCACCGTCCCTACTGTAGACATATTTAGTTGCCACCCGTCCCTACTGTAGACATATTTAGTTGCCACCGTCCCTACTGTAGACATATTTAGTTGCCACCGTCCCTACTGCTTGATACAGGCCAACCAACATTGGAAAGCGTTATCTACCTAAGGTCAAACCAGCAGCAAGTATAATTAACGATAGCACGACTGTATACACAGGAAACTTAACTGCACTTTTGATGGGACACACACGATGCTGGCTTACACATTGATAGACACACCTAACCTTGGTGACAGACACCAGTGGTTAAATATAACCTTGATGACAGACACCAGTGGTTAAACATAACCTTGATGACAGACACCAGTGGTTAAACATAACCTTGATAACAGACACTAGTGGTTTGAACATAACCTTGATGACAGACACCAGTGGTTAAACATAACCTTGATGACAGACACCAGTGGTTAAACATAACCTTGATGACAGACACCAGTAGTTAAACATAACCTTGATGACAGACACTAGTGGTTTGAACATAACCTTGATGACAGACACCAGTGGTTAAACATAACCTTGATAACAGACACTAGTGGTTTGAACATAACCTTGATGACAGACACCAGTGGTTAAACATAACCTTGATGACAGACACCAGTGGTTAAAAATAACCTTGATAACAGACACTAGTGGTTTGAACATAACCTTGATGACAGACACCAGTGGTTAAACATAACCTTGATGACAGACACCAGTGGTTAAACATAACCTTGATGACAGACACCAGTGGTTAAACATAACCTTGATGACAGACACTAGTGGTTTGAACATAACCTTGATGACAGACACCAGTGGTTAAACATAACCTTGATAACAGACACTAGTGGTTTGAACATAACCTTGATGACAGACACCAGTGGTTAAACATAACCTTGATGACAGACACCAGTGGTTAAACATAACCTTGATGACAGACACTAGTGGTTTGAACATAACCTTGGTGACAGACACCAGTGGTTAAACATAACCTTGATGACAGACACCAGTGGTTAAACATAACCTTGATGGCAGACACCAGTGGTTTAACATAACCTTGATGACAGACACCAGTGGTTTAAAGCCCATAACTGGACACAAAGATTATGTTTGATCTGAGAAACCAGTCTGACCAAGCACCCGAGTACGGATGTGTCTATGATCAAAACTTCAACATCGCATACTTCAAGACAAAGTCGAGGATCTCTGAGCTTTTACAATATCCGGCAATTTGTTGCTATGTTTTCCAAATAATATATTTATAAAAATTCGTTGGAAAAGAGTAACTGATGACTCACCTGATATAGTTGAGATAGATTGTTGTGATGACTCACCTGATATAGTTGAGATAGAATGGTGTGATGACTCACCTGATATAGTTGAGATAGAATGTTGTGATGACTCACCTGATGTAGTTGAGATAGATTGTTGTGATGACTCACCTGATATAGTTGAGATATAATGTTGTGATGACTCACCTGATATAGTTGGGGCAGATTGTGATGACTCACCTGATATAGTTGAGATAGAATGTTGTGATGACTCACCTGATATAGTTGAGATAGAATGTTGTGATGACTCACCTGATATAGTTGAGATAGAATGTTGTGATGACTCACCTGATATAGTTGAGATAGACTGTTGTGATGACTCACCTGATATAGTTGAGATAGATTGTTGTGATGACTCACCTGATATAGTTGAGATAGAATGTTGTGATGACTCACCTGATATAGTTGAGATAGAATGTTGTGATGACTCACCTGATATAGTTGAGATAGAATGTTGTGATGACTCACCTGATATAGTTGAGATAGAATGTTGTGATGACTCACCTGATATAGTTGAGATAGAATGTTGTAATGACTCACCTGATATAGTTGAGATAGAATGTTGTGATGACTCACCTGATGTAGTTGAGGTAGATTGTTGTGATGACTCACCTGATGTAGTTGAGATAGATTGTTGTGATGACTCACCTGATGTAGTTGAGATAGAATGTTGTGATGACTCACCTGATGTAGTTGAGATAGATTGTTGTGATGACTCACCTGATGTAGTTGAGATAGAATGTTGTAATGACTCACCTGATGTAGTTGAGATAGATTGTTGTAATGACTCACCTTATGTAGTTGAGATAGAATGTTGTAATGACTCACCTGATGTAGTTGAGATAGATTGTTGTGATGACTCACCTGATGTAGTTGAGATAGATTGTTGTGATGACTCACCTGATGTAGTTGAGATAGATTGTTGTGATGACTCACCTGATGTAGTTGAGATAGAATGTTGTGATGACTCACCTGATGTAGTTGAGATAGATTGTTGTGATGACTCACCTGATGTAGTTGAGGTAGATTGTTGTGATGACTCACCTGATGTAGTTGAGATAGATTGTTGTGATGACTCACCTGATGTAGTTGAGATAGATTGTTGTGATGACTCACCTGATGTAGTTGAGATAGATTGTTGTGATGACTCACCTGATGTAGTTGAGATAGAATGTTGTGATGACTCACCTGATGTAGTTGAGATAGATTGTTGTGATGACTCACATGATGTAGTTGAGGTAGATTGTTGTGATGACTCACCTGATGTAGTTGAGATAGATTGTTGTGATGACTCACCTGATGTAGTTGAGATAGATTGTTGTGATGACTCACCTGATGTAGTTGAGATAGATTGTTGTGATGACTCACCTGATGTAGTTGAGATAGAATGTTGTGATGACTCACCTGATGTAGTTGAGATAGATTGTTGTGATGACTCACCTGATATAGTTGAGATAGAATGTTGTGATGACTCACCTGATATAGTTGAGATAGAATGTTGTGATGACTCACCTGATATAGTTGAGATAGAATGTTGTGATGACTCACCTGATGTAGTTGAGGTAGATTGTTGTGATGACTCACCTGATGTAGTTGAGATAGACTGCAGTGATGACTCACCTGATGTAGTTGAGGTAGATTGTTGTGATGACTCACCTGATATAGTTGAGGTAGATTGTGATGACTCACCTGATGTAGTTGAGATAGATTGCCGTAGATGTGAACATTGCTACGAGGTACGACAACTTCTCTCCGGTGTAAGCAGGTATCAGGAAAGCCAGGGGGATCATCACTGACGTCAGCACCATAGGAAAGATAAAAGTGATGACGTAATACGTCCGTTGTCGCTTCATGGTGAAGTAGTAGCGAGGGAAGTTAGGTAGCCCATCAGCAGTCTCAATGACGTCATGGTGCTCACCCATAAACAGCCACTCTCCGCTAACGTTGATGTATTCAGACAGCGAGTACTCATGCATCTCATGGATCTCAATGTGTGGGACAGACCTCAGACCGGTGGGATAAAACCCGACACTGCAGGCTTGGACATCGAAAGGGTACTTGTCAAAGTCGATGGAACAGCTGAAGGTAAGATGGTTGTGTCGTCTAGAGATCACTGCGCCGCTAGAGTTGATTTCGACGGTTTCAGCGAACTCCAGGACGAAAGAGTCTTTCTGCCCCATGACGATGAGGATGGTTGGTGTCCAGACACTGTCCCGGTCGACATAGATAAAGTCGAGTCCGCCGTAGTCCGAGGAGTTCCAGGCCAGTTGTTGCTGCGTCCATCGGATGTCGATGTATGCGTTCAAAGTAATCACCTGTCATAAAAATAATGTCTGTATATAACCGAAATTAGGCCAGGAACAGTGTCTACGTGTTACGATGTTCTCACACAGTGGGGTTACAGACATTCTATAACTACACAAATATTCACAAAAAATGCATATGATAACACAGCAGGCGTAGATGAAGCACACATACACACACACACAAACACACACACACTAACACACACACACACACACAAACACACAACACAAACACACACACAAACACACACACAAACACACACACAACACAAACACACACACAAACACACACACAAACACACACACACACAACACAAACACACACACACACACAAACACACACACACACAACACAAACACACACACAACACAAACACACACACAAACACACACACACACACACAAACACACACAACACAAACACACACCCAAACACACACACAAACACACACACACACACAACACAAACACACACACACACACAAACACACACACACACAACACACTCACAACACAAACACACACACAAACACACACACTAACACACACACACACACAAACAAACACACAACACAAACACACACACACAAACACACACACACACACAAACACACACACACACAAACAAACACACGACACAAACACACACACACAAACACACACACAAACACACACACACACAAACAAACACACAACACAAACACACACACAAAAGGTGTAATAGGGACTCACTGAAACATTGAAGACATTGCAGAGAGAACCTTGTATGTACATGGAAGGTTTCACATACACAGTTTGTGTGGCTGCATGTTTTACCGTGTCGTAAGTGGCAATAGTTAATATCTCAAGATACCATTGATTACCATGTCTGTAGACAGCACCTACCAGATTTAACCATCGTCTGTGTCATCACGACTGTCTGTGGCATCATGACTGACTGTGGCATCATGACTGTCTGTGGCATCATGACTGTCTGTGGCATCATGACTGACTGTGGCATCATGACTGTCTGTGGCATCATGACTGTCTGTGGCATCATGACTGTCTGTGGCATCATGACTGTCTGTGGCATCATGACTGTCTGTGGCAACATCACTGACTGTGGCATCATGACTGTCTGTGGCAACATGACTGACTAAGGCATCATGACTGACTGTGGCATCATGACTGTCTGTGGCATCATGACTGTCTGTGACATCATCACTGACTGTGGCATCATGACTGTCTGTGGCATCATGACTGTCTGTGGCATCATGACTGTCTGTGGCATCATCACTGACTGTGGCATCATGACTGTCTGTGGCATCATCACTGTTTGTGGCATCATGACTGTCTATGGCATCATGACTGTCTGTAGCATCATGACTGTCTGTGGCATAATGACTGACTGTGGCATCATGACTGACTGTGGCATCATGACTGTCTGTGGCATCATCACTGACTGTGGCATCATGACTGACTGTGGCAACATCACTGACTGTGGCATCATGACTGTCTGTGGCATCATGACTGTCTGTGGCATCATGACTGTCTGTGGCATCATGACTGTCTGTGGCATCATGACTGACTGTGGCATCATGACTGACTGCGGCAACATCACTGACTGTGGCATCATGACTGACTGTGGCAACATCACTGTCTGTGGCAACATCACTGACTGTGGCATCATGACTGTCTGTGGCAACATCACTGACTGTGGCTTCATGACTGTCTGTGGCATCATGACTGTCTGTGGCATCATGAATGTCTGTGGCATCATGACTGACTGTGGCATCATGACTGACTGTGGCATCATAACTGACTGTGGCATCATGACTGACTGTGGCAACATCACAGTCTGTGGCATCATGACTGACTGTGGCAACATCACTGTCTGTGGCAACATCACTGACTGTGGCATCATGACTGTCTGTGGCATCATCACTGTCTATGGCATCATGACTGTCTGTGGCATCATGACTGTTTGTGGCATCATGACTGTCTGATGAATCATCACTGTCTGTGGCATCATGACTGACTGTGGCAACATCACTGTCTGTGGCAACATCACTGACTGTGGCAACATGACTGTCTGTGGCAACATCACTGTCTGTGGCAACATCACTGACTGTGGCAACATCACTGACAGTGGCAACATCACTGACTGTAGCAACATCACTGTCTGTGGCAACGTCACTGTCTGTGGCATCATGACTGACTGTGGCATCATGACTGTCTGGGGCATCATGACTGACTGTGGCATCATGACTGACTGTGGCATCATGACTGACTGTGGCATCATGACTGTCTGTGGCATCATGACTGACTGTGGCATCATGACTGTATGTGGCATCATGACTGACTGTGGCATCATCACTGACTGTGGCATCATGACTGACTGTGGCATCATGACTGACTGTGGCATCATGACTGACTGTGGCATCATGACTGACTGTGGCATCATGACTGACTGTGGCATCATGACTGTCTGTGGCATCATCACTGACTGTGGCATCATGACTGTCTGTGGCATCATGACTGACTGTAGCATCATCACTGACTGTGCCATCATGACTGACTGTGGCAACATCACTGTCTGTGGCAACATCACTAACTGTGGCATCATGACTGTCTGTGGCATCATGACTGACTGTGGCAACATCACTGTCTGTGGCATCATGACTGACTGTGGCAACATCACTATCTGTGGCAACATCACTGACTGTGGCATCGTGACTGTCTGTGGCAACATCACTGACTGTGTCATCATGACTGTCTGTGGCATCATGACTGACTGTGGCATCATGACTGACTGTGGCATCATGACTGACTGTGGCATCATGACTGACTGTGGCATCATGACTGTCTGTGGCATCATGACTGTCTGTGGCAACATGACTGTCTGTGGCAACATCACTGACTGTGGCATCATGACTGTCTGTGGCATCATGACAGACTGTGACATCATGACTGACTGTGGCATCATGACTGACTGTGGCATCATAACTGACTATGGCATCATCACTGACTGTGGCATCATGACTGACTGTGGCATCATTACTGACTGTGGCATCATGACTGACTGTGGCAACATCATTGTCTGTGGCATCATGACTGACTGTGGCATCATGACTGACTGTGGCATCATGACTGACTGTGGCATCATGACTGTCTGTGGCATCATGACTGACTGTGGCATCATGACTGACTGTGGTAACATCACTGACTCCGACATAACATTTCTCTCTTGTCTAGACCAGTTCTTCTGAAACTGTTTTAGGCCCGCCAACACAATTTCTTTTTCAGTGACATAATCGCCCACTTGTCCCTCTCTCTGAAAATATCACCATCACCATGTGCCACGCTGATAAGCATAGTCGATCACCATTCGCCATCTTGAGCCATCAAGGTATCTATCTCTTTGCTTTCCCTTGTATGTTAATCTTGCTAATGTCATCAAGCTCTCCAGTCTAAAGCTTAAACTACTCCGTCTCCTTGTTGCAACCCTGGACTAGCCCAGTGTCTCTTTCCTGGTGGTTGGTAGGGGAGGGTGAGGGACGACTGTGCCCACTTCAAGAATCACTGGACTAGAGCACATCATCTATTACTATGTTTCACCATTTGACTACAGTCCGTGGTAACACCAGCTACCTTGTGCTACATTAGGTGTAGATCACCATCAAACCGGTTTCACCCTTAGATAGCTCATAAACGTGTTCTACATATCCAGTTTTTTCGCTAGCAACAACGACAACAATAAAAACAAGATCCAACGCCATCCTTGAGTATATGAAACCCCTCCCCCACTACAAACACACACACACAATAAAAATAAGATCAAAAAGGAGAAAAAAAAAGTGTTCCTAGTTCATAATTAAACCAGGTGTTTTCATATTGCATTAGATTTTAACTTTATAAGATATACAAACTGTTCATGAAAATATAAAAACGCCATTAGCTTTTCCTTTTGTAATAGAATATTCAATTTATAATTAAACTGTATAAAATGTTAATGAAACGAATTAGTAGAAGTACAGATAAACTCAGTTTCAAAAATTTCTTGACGCTCCTCGCTCCCTGGGTGTAGAGAGTTGCTCAAGTCCATGGCGGGTCCTATTGTCCTCAGGTGCCGAAATGACCCTTTACCCCTGAATAAAAACAAAAACATGTCGAAGACAAAGTCCTCGTCCAATAGACTTCAGCCAGCAGAAGATCTGGTGTTTTTCTCTCTGATCTCTTTTCCGCTGTCTTCTTTCCTTACTTGGAACTGGATGAGGCTAGCTAGGTTTGACCTACTAAATTCTGTCTACTTACCTGGTTAACGACACAGAACATGGATAACTGTCATCCCACCTGGCTAACGATACAGAACATGACAACTGTCTACTTACCTGGTTAACGACACAGAACATGGACAACTGTCTACTTACCTGGTTAACGACACAGAACATGGACAACGGTCTTCCCACCTGGTTAACGACACAGAACATGGACAACTGTCTACTTACCTGGTTAACGACACAGAACATGGACAACTGTCTTCCCACCTGGTTAACGACATAGAACATGAACAACTGTCTACTTACCTGGTTAACGACACAGAACATGAACAACTGTCTACTTACCTGGTTAACGACACAGAACATGGACAACTGTCTACTTACCTGGTTAACGACACAGAACACGGACAACTGTCTACTTACCTGGTTAACGACACAGAACATGGACAACTGTCTTCCCACCTGGTTAACGACACAGAACATGGACAACTGTCTACTTACCTGGTTAACGACACAGAACATGGACAACATTCTACTTACCTGGTTAATGACACAGAACATAGACAACTGTCTACCCACCTGGCTAACGACACAGAACATAGACAACTGTCTACT